TTAATTTGTCACGTAAATTGTTATTTACTCTTTCTATATAAACATATCCCCTGTGACATGTCTCTAATTTGGTAGGTGTATTTCCAAATCAGGTGAAGTAAATATTGCAGATCTTCAGATGGGGATATGCCAGATTTTTCACTTTGACAAAAGAAAAAAAATCTAATAGAGAGAGATGAAAAGTAGCCAACTTGTGAGAAAGTTGTAGGAGTTATGCTAAACAAAATATTATATTAATTCAAGTAACTACTGCAGCCTAAGCTTTTGTAGTACTTGACAAAGCTCTAGAGCTTATCTACTACTTCTTTGCTAGATAGTACCTGGGCCTTATACCGGAAACTTCGCTTACAAGGGTTTGACTCTTTTTCAACTCTTTTCAGTTACAACTAAGCATGCAGTGAATAGCCTTAATTCCAGCTACCATAGGTAGAGTTTTGTTGTAAATTAATATAATAACTGTATAGTTTTCGTAGTTTGGGCTTTTGAGAAAAGTTGGTACAAGAGATCATTGGTGAGAGTTGTATATAGATAATATTGTATACAAATTTAAATCTATATATACTATGCATACTAATTTATATTATTAAATATGGCTATATTAACTTTTGTTTATTATTTTAATACAAATATAGTTTAAATCTACTTTGATAATTTTAATATTACAAATATATACTATATTAGTTACTATTAAAAAATAGATTTGTATTATAGTTTTAGAAAAATTTGTTTTAAAGAGTACAAAAATTGTTAAGTATTGAATTATAAAAAAACTATATATATTTGTATAAAATAGCTTGAGTATATTTAGAAATGATAAAATATAGTTTAACCAGTTTTTTAAATATTTTTATTATTTTTTAAAAATATTAAAGTTTAAGATAAAATTATACTAAAAATAAAAATAATGCTTCTGATTAATTAATTTTAATTTTTAGCTAAAAAATTATTTTAAAAAAATAATATTGCTATATAATTAAATATTAAGTAAAAAAAAAATAAATAAATAAATAAAAATATTTGTTCATTTTAATTTTTATATTATTATTATTTTTAAATACAAAATTTGCTTGTTAGCTAATATTATATAGTTATTAGATATAAAGTAGCTAATAAAACCTATTTGTTGGTATTAAAAACTTAAGATTTATATTGTTGCTATTATATTAATCTATTAAATAAGTTTTTGCAAATAAATTATTTTAAGAAACAGAATTCTGTTTTTTTAAATTTTTAATAAATTTTTATATTTCAATAAATAACTTTTTAATTAGTTAACTAAATTAATATAGTTTTTTTTGCAATAATTATATTTTTAGCAAGATATTATTTAATTATATTTATTAGATTTAGTAATTTAGTAATATTTAAGCAAATTTCTTTTAACAAGAATTTTTATAAATATAAAATATTGTTTTGATAAATTTTTTTATTTAATTTTTTTTTTAAATTTTGTAATTATAATACTTTATTAAATTATATATTTGAATTATAATTATATTATAATATATTAAACTATTTTTAACAGATTTAAATCAAACAAACATGATTTTAAAATTGTGTTTTAAATTATTTATTATTAAGAGATAAATAAAAATTTGTATATTTATATTAAAAGAGAGCTGAATAAGATATATAAAAATTGTTTATTGTTTTTACTAGACATGTTAAATAAGTATATTATTAGTTAAATTGTAGCTAATAATTGCTAATTTTTTATAGCAGATACTGCATTATGATATGTAGAGGTCTTATCTAGTCAAAAAATTTGTATTTGAATATTTATTTGTTTAATATTTTTAATATTTAAATATTCATTAAAAAATTTTAAATAAATATATTTAGTATAAAATAATTTTGTACTTTATTAATACTATAATTAATTAGCTAGTTAATAGCTAATATATAAAATTAGAAGCACAAATACAACTTATTTTAATACTAATTATTATAACAATTTTGATTTTTTTAAATATATGCAAAAATACAATTTATTTTAATACTAATTATTAAAAATAAATAAATATTTTAAAAAATGCTATAAATTTAAATTTTAATTTGTAAAATTCTATATCAATTAATAAATAATTTTGTAGTTAATAATTTGGGTGCTGATACATGAAATATTTTCTAGAAGGTGAAAAGTAGAGCAAATCTTTCTAATTCTTAAAATGTCAGAATGGAATCTTTCTTTAGCAAGCACTAGGCCAATAATGTTGTTAGAAATATTTTAAAAGAGTATAGTATGTATAGTGCAAAAAAGGCTTAGCAAGATACTTATAGAGAAGAACATACTACAAGGTCTCAATTATGCAGGGCTTTTGGGAGACTACACAGGAGCCCCAATATATATACTTAGTAATATTTTAGAAGAGGCCAAGGAGAAGAAGAAAAAATGTTGGGTTCTATTACAAGATATTAAAAAAGCCTTTGACTTAGTAGCTATAGAGAGTATTAGAAGAGTATTAAAAAGAATTAAAGTTCCAAAGAGAGTAATAAACTTTATAGTCAAATTATATGACAAGAGGAAAGTACATGTAATTACAAAATTTGGGCTCTCAGAAGGGTTTGAGGCAGAGGATGAGATCGATCAGGGAGAGGTAATCTCTCCACTCATATAGAGAATAATTTATGACTCATTATTGTACAAGATACAAGACCTAAAGAAAGGGTATACAAGATACAAGACCTAAAGAAAGGGTATACCTTAGAAGTTCAAAAGCATCAATCAGTTATAGCTAGGCCCAGTGAGAAGGAGAAAATAAATATAAGCTGCTTAGCTTATGCTAATGATACAACTTTTATAGCTAGCTCACAGGTTGACATGCAGAGAATCTTAGACAAAATGAGTTTTATTGTATAAATGATATAGATATAAATCTGCAGAAGTCAGAGCTTTTAGTATTAAACACTAAAGTAGAGAGCAGAGTCAGATCAGTTAAACTCAGAAGAGAAAGAACAGAGATTAGAGCCTTAAAAAAGGAGAAAGCAGCTCGCTTCTTAGGAGTGTGGATTACTGCTTAAGACACTCAGAAGTATTGCAAGCATAAGCTGAGAAATGAGATATATGTATTTATAAACATTATTAAAAACAAGAAAATCTTCATAGAACAAATGAAGTATCTTAATAATAAGGTGCTGTTATCACAGCTAGAGTACAAAGCATTGGCATGCCTGTTCAACAAAAGAGTATGTGATAAAATCTACTAGCCAGTTCTCAAGATTGCAAAGTAGAAAGCTAAAATAGTATCAACATCAGCCAATAGTATAATAAAGCACAAAGTATCAAGAGTTTCTGGCAAAAACATATAGAGCAAGTTTATATTTAAAGAATAATATAATTATTTCTAGTAATTTTTAAATCAACAAATGCATAACTCTAGGCAAAATTAAAATAGAATTCAAGCAAAATTAAGTATAATTTCAGACAAAATTAGGTACAATTCTAAGCCAACATTTGCACTGCAAGTCTCATTAAAAATATATCACAAAATTGCAATTATTTTTAATTAAATTAATTTAATTATTTGATAAGTTAAATTCTTTTAACCAGACTCCAGACTCAATTAATATCATTCTCTAAATTTTTTTACAGGATAAATAATAATAGAGGTGTCAAGCAAAGTGTAAAATTGGTTTTAATTATAATCTGGTTTGCTATGTAATGTGTATTTCTCAATTACAGTAAAAAAATTCAATTGATAAAACAGGTCATCTACTTATTAAAATTTTTTTATACTTTAATTAAATCTCATATAAATCAGAAAAATTGAGCATATAAACTTTGAAGAATTTTTTCTCTTTTCAAATATTTGAACTCACTCTTTAATACTCAATTATAATGGAATACCGTTCAAAAGTAATTAACAAAGTAAAAGCAATTGGATTTAAAATGATTGGTAAAAACTTATCTAAAACATTTGATATTGTTAGAATCGCTTTCGGACAAAATTATAGAAAATGTTATCATCTCATCTTCTGGGATAAAAATACTATTACTATTGAAGATCTTGTTGCTCTACAAACTGAGTGCGACATATACAAAGATTTTTTGACTATTTTCATTCATGATTCCGAGTTAAAAGAAACAATTAAGCAAATAATCATCGATGCTAATAAAAACTACCCAAAAAAACTTAAATTATTAATAAAAAATAAAAATGATATTATTAATTTTATAAAACTTGATTATTTTGATAATTTTTCGAATTTTAATAGAATTCCATCTGAAGAAAAAGAAATTTTTATTAGATTTATGATGCAAAATGTAACAAATGCAAACAAAATTACAGATTGTTATAATATGTGGCCAAAAACAAATAAATAAAATTAAGAACATTCTAAAATTTTTCAATTAGTCAGATTTAACTTTTTTCTTTTTGAAAAATTACATTTTACTATCTTAAGTGTTAATATTGTTTTCCTGGAAAATATTAATAATTATTTAATGAATAATTTTTTGATTAAAAAATTTTTTTAAACTATAATAGCAGCATATAAATTTTATACAAAATTTACACAATTAAATATATTACTGTATTATTAATTTTAAGCTTATTGATCATTGATTGGGTCACACTCACCTGACCGTGAATTTTTCTGCTATCACTTTGTTATCTAAATTTTTATGATATTTTGTAAATATTTATTTCGATAATAACTCCTGTAATATTTTAAATATCAAGAATATGACAAAAGTATTTAAAGTACTATTGATTAATATATCATATTTATCTTTTTAAAATTTTGATTATTCATTGAAGAAATATGTTGCATAGCAAAACAATGTTAGAACATGTTTATTTTTTTTTAAAAAAAAAATAATAGAATAAATAAGAAATATAGCTTATATATTCTTATATCAAATAATAACAGATTTTAGCATAATACACGCTTAATCTTCACTAATGCTAAGCTTTTTTGTTACACAAATAATTCCCATGCAAATATAATCTTTTAATCTTTGTTAGATTCCATACTTTTTTTTGTGATTCGGAACGTTTTCATATTTTTTTGCAATATTCTTCAAAGCATGAAAATTTTTTCACATTTTCCGCCATATAGTTTGCGAATGAATCTGTATCGTGAATACTCATCTTTTTGGATATCACATATTGATAGGAAAAATATTCTACTATATGATAAATAATCCAATTTTCATTGCAATAATTATATGGAAGTGGAAGTTTTATAGTTTTTGAATTCATATATCCTTCTATAATATCGCCATCACTATTGCATGATTCTTCACATACAATTATATGATCGTCTTTGCAAAAGTACTTAACAGATTCAGTATGTGTAGGATTTTTTGGAGGCACATAATTGATATTTACAGCATTGTATAATTCTGTATAATCCTGAAGAGTAACAACTTTTTTATGCCAGAGAAAGAGATAAAAAAAGTAACTACTATAAGAGACTTTAACAATAGTATAATTTTTTTGGGTGTTCCCAGTTTTCACAACAGTATAACGATAATCATTTGTTGTTAATATATTAATCACTATCGACAGTTCATATTCAGCAACATACTTTTGAAACAGATCCTCAAAACCTGTAATATTTTTGCAACTTTCACGCATTTTTGCTACAACAAATTCTGTTTTCGAAATATTTTTAAATATCGCATATTGATAAGAAAAATATACTATTATCATTTTAATAATCCAATTTTTTTCGCAATGATAATATTTAAGATGTTTTTTAGTTTTTTTTTCAAATTCTTCTATTTTATCAGATTCGTCAATTTCTAACGATTTACATATGATTATATGATCACTGCAATATTCTTTATTATGAAAACGATTATCTTTAGGCGTATAATTTTGAATTGCATTATATAAATCTAGATAATCCTTTTTTTGGGAAATTTTTTTATGCCAGATAATAAGAAAATAGTCATATTTATTGAAAGAAACTTTAACAGTAGAATAATTTGAGAGTCTTTCCAAAGTTTTCGCATAAAAACCATTTTTATCTAATAAGTTAATCACCTCCGAATAATAGTCTTCTTTTTGTACCATGTTTTTTTTATCTTGTTTCTTATTACTTTTTTTTGGTAGCATGTTTGATTTTGGTTTCGATAATTGTATGATGAAATTTGAAAGAAAAAAAAAGAATTTTTTATACAAAAAATTAAATATTAAAAAAAAAATTCTTCAAACTCTGTATTGTGCTGAATAACTAACTTTAATAAAATTAAATAATTTCAATTAATGATAGTATTATTTTTTTTTGAGTGCCTTTTGGAGTTTTGGAATTATACTTACTTTGATTGAAATTCTGTTTTAATTTAGAATCATAAATAAATAAGTCAATTGAAAATTTCTTTATTTATTATTATTATTTTTTTTTTATAGTTTAAAAAAATAAGTTTAGCCACGTTCATCATACGGAGACAATATTTTAGAGAGTTGCAGAATTCTGGACAAGAATAGTCCAATAAGTTTAATTAAAGCTGCTAATATTAAACTTTCAAAATGTTTTTTGACCAATTCTAAGATTATTTAGAAGTTTCATTATGTTTATAATTAAATTCAATGGTAATAGTTTCGGAATCCGATTTCTGAAAAATTCAAATTAAATTATTAATAAAAAATGCCATTTTGCAAACTTTAATAACTTTTGTTATTTTTTTTTTTTAATTCAGCGAGTTGATATTTATTCTTTAAAAGAGAGTTTCTATCAAGTAATAACTATATATTTTTTAAATATTTATATTTTTGTTAAAGTATTATAAGAATTTCTTATAATTTCTATAAAATCAATTTCAAAAAAAAAAATCTTCACTAATGATTTTTATTATATGTCTTGATCTAAGTTTGTGATTAAACTGATTGTTGACACCCCATTCAGTTATGCATAATTTTGTCCGGAATTATATAATTAAAGAATAAAATTTAAAGGAGCATTTTAAATTATATAAACTTAAAAATTTACTCAGAAGATTCATCAGAGTCATTTGGGTTATCAATAATTGACCATCCAATCACAGGAGAAACAACAAATTCACTATCAGAACCTTCAAGAATTTCTTGATTAGCACCAATAAATCCAGCCATGAATTTTGATTTTAACTCATCTAAAAGAAATAGAACACCAACAATGCTATCTGGAATATTTTGAATTCTTATTACACTATTAGTTGTTAAAGGTCTTCCTGCTTGATTATAAGGAAAGAAGTTCATTAACCATCTAGAGACAAGAGTACCACCACCAGAACTATGTACTTCATCAATCTTTATAATTCTACCCCAAAAATCATGATCAATTTCATCATGATAAGTGGCAACTAAATTCCAAAGGACAGGTTCAAGACGATCTAACCAAAAATCTAATTCTAAATTTAATTCTCTTAAATTAATGACCTTTTCTTGAAGTTTCATCCAATCTTCAAGGGTTTCTTCAAGCGTAACTTTTGGAATTCCACAAAGAGTATAAACTTCATACTCAAAATAAGCTTTAACGGCATCTAATAATACAACTGTTAAGGAGGTTGGGTAGTTGTCGAAAAATTGCATTCTAATAAACCCATTAAATCGATTTTTTCGACGTGACTATCAGTTTTTATAACAAGTTTTTTTACAACTTCAGACCAATTGCCTTCATAATTATTAGATAGAATATCATTAATAAGATTTTATACAATATTTGCTTTGAAAACTGTGAGCAACGAAAAGATATCATGTCTGTGTCCAACAAAAGGAACGGGCAAATTCAGGCATGTATTTGTGAATAAAATTGGTACATAATTTTAGTAATTATTGATACTGCTGTACTGTATAATTTAATTGTAATTCTGATAAATAGAGTATTTAGTAATTAAAAAATTAAATTAAACCTACCCAAAATTAAATAATTGACTAATTTTTTAATGTAATTGTTATCATTTTTTCAAATGTTTTACAAATCTGACCACGTCATTAAAGTTGATATTTGAATTCATCTCTTTATTTAGTTTTGTTTTTTATTATGAGTAATTACCAATTAATAAATTTAGTCAGATGATTATTAATTAAATAGAGATTTGGATAAATAGTTGTGATACTCGAATGATATAAAAACGTATGAAGTATTTATTCGTTCGAAAAAATAGTAATATGGGTGATCCAAAGCAGGTACTAGATGTTCTATACAAAATAATTTCCGTTGTATTGTTTAGCGTTAAATTAATTAAAGGTGGAACTATCGTTAAATTAATTGAAGGTACAACTTGAATTTAAAGCTAAATTTAACAAAATTCAAAAAACACATAGCAAAACAAAAGTAGAAATTTTGCAAGAACTTGCAAAAAATCCCAAATTTAAAGACCTTGCAAAAAAACAGATTTTAGAATACAATAAAACAATAAACAAACAAAAAAAATACAATATGATGTAGCTCGCCAAGAATAAAATGATCCTAAGACCTGTATATTTTTAAATTTCAAATAATCAAGCATAATATAATTACCAGTTTGACAGTTCTATCCTTTACATCTGATGTTAATAGAGCTTTTTGAGGACTTGCTTTCTTCTATTGACATTTTATTCTTAAAATATGAGTAAAAAATTACAAAACAAAAAACATTATTACAGAATGGAGTTACCGATTTAAATTTAGAAATTTAATTTTGCCAAAATTTGTACTTGATTCTGTCTAAATAATTTATATTCTAATTTTGCCCAAATTTATACCCAATATCTCCAGTGGCAGGAAGAATTAATAATTAATTCCGGTGACATTTGTTGAAACTAATGATATCATATGATTTTACGGACCCATGGGTCCGTGAGCTGCATCATTTAAGTTAACTACCATTTTTAGAGTAAACTTAGGGTGTCCAGAATTCTGCGGTGCATAATTCTGCTCACTCTAAAAATATTTTTTTGTATTGTCTCCATAAGATAAACGTGATTTTTAAAAACTAAATACAATACAAAAAGATATTTTTAGAGCAAG